GTACACATACAAATGCTTGATGATTTCAAGTATCAGTTTTCAAAATAAGTTAGTTCCTTAGAACTTTCCAAAGGTGGTTAATGAGTTGTTGTTTTTAATATTTTTATAAACTCATGGATTTATGCATACATTTGGCTCTCCAAATCTGCTGGTTCCATATCCACGGAGTCAACTACCCACAGATTGAAAATTTTTACAAAGGTATGTTGTTGCTGGCATATGTACTATGTAGTTAGGCCTACAATAGTTGTGTCTGTAGTGAACATGTACAGACTTTTTTTTCTTGTCATTAGTCTCTAAACAATACAGTATAAACTATTTACATAGCATTTACATTGTATTAGGTATAAGTAATCTAGAGATTATTTAAAGTATACAGAGGATGTGAGGGAGGATGTGCGTAGCTTATATGCAAATTCTATGCCATTTTATATAAAGGACTTGAGCATCCTCCGATTTTGATATCCACAGGGGTCCTGGAACCAATCCCTCACAAACACTGAAGGACAACTTTGATTTGCTTCAATACATTGTAATTACTATTTTTTTTTTCACATACGGAAGCATTTATTTGAGGTTTATTTTTATTTTTTTATTTTTTTAGGCGAGGCAACCCTTGGTCGACCTCACAGATTGCAAGGGCCTTGTCAGCTTTCAACCCCTTATTTATTTTTTATTTTTTATTTTTTGCACCTACAGCACCTGGTCTTTCTAAGTGGTCTCCCATCCAAGTACTAACCAGGCCCGACCCTGCTTAGCTTCCGAGATCAGACAGGATCAGGCTTGTTCAGGGAGGGATGGCCGAAGATGCATTTATTTGAGGTTTAAATCATACAAAGAAAATTTGTATAAACACAAATCCACAAGTCATAAAAGCAAAAAATAAAGTTAGAACAAAAACTAATTGGTGGCTATGTACAGTTAGACACAGTTGTGTCTTGTACACTAGGAAATCTTACAAAACAGTCATTTTAGATCAACAAAATACCAGTTTTCAGTGTTGTCCTGCAAGATGGGTTTCTATAGCAATCTCCTCCGGTTTCCTCCAATGTCCTCCTTTAGTATGGCTGGTAATTGTTTTGGTGATTGCCACCCCCTGGAGGTGCCTTGCATAAGTGCTCTGTTAGCCTGGGCCACAACACTGGTACCACCTTCTCCCTCAGCTGCAGCACCTTTTTCTCCTTTTTTGTCGTTACTATTGCTGCCTATCCACCTCTTTTGGTTGTGCAACTTTGATTTCACACTTCCTAGAACCAATTTGATACTATCTGCTTTCTAAAAATTTCTCTACTGGTTCTTCCTCTGTATATGTGGTAAGGCAAAATCTTCTTCTTTCATTTGTATTTGTATCCATAGGAAGTTCAATATTTTCAATCACTCTGAAGTCTCGGAAATATTCTTTAATTTGTTTTCAGAAGTATTTGGGTTCAATCTGTCTTGGGGGTTCCTTCCCTCTTAAAATTTTAGCCTTTTGGGGGTCTATCAATTTGCCATCTAGCTCATGTTCTTTCAGTTCCAAAACCTTATCAACACTAGCAGCATCGTGAAAAGCACAAATTTGAATCCTCTTGATCTTTCAGTGATTGGATCTATTTTAATTGTTCAGTCTACAACTTCACCATATCGAGACAGATATTTCAGTCAACTCTTTCCAGCTCAAGCCTCCAATAAACATTTACCTTAATCCTGCTGATTCTTGCTGGCATTAATTTTGGATCCCACTGCAAATTCCTCTGTGTTGCTGTACTCATCTTATCCTCCCTGGTGCTGGAGTTATTGGCGGAGGGAAGCCGACAGGCACATGAGTTTTGTCGGAAGCGACAGCAGAGCATTGTATGGCACTGGATTTAAGATGGTGGTGGAAGAGCATTAGTATTCTTATTGACAGCCAAACCATTCCAACTTTGCCCATTGACTTTTGACTCAGCTCCAGTAATCTTTGATATCTTTCTTTGTTTCTGACATGTCAAGAAGTTCCAGGATTATCTTGAACATTTCTCACCCCAAATGTGCCATCAGCCATTTCTTCAAGGATTTCTGGTTCCTTATAGTATGAAATGCTTTTTAGAAATGCTAATCTTGGTGCTCATTGCTTTTGGGTTGGTCACTGATTGTAGACCCTCCCCCCCACACACACTTTTTGTTAAATTTAGACACTTTCAATTCAAATTCAGGACCACAGTTTTTACTTAGCCTCATTGAAATCTTTCATCTGTGCATACCGTCTCCCATAACATATACTGCTACCTTAACTACTCTGACATAATTACTCATTTGCTTTATCCCACAGTACACTCACAGTCTCAGAATAATAATATGAATACTAACAACAATAATAAGAGTTCTGAAAACAGCAAGTTTTGGGGAGAGTGGGGCACTGTGTTGTTCATAGGGAATGTTCCACTAGGAATAGTCAGTCAAAGTTATTGACTTTTAAAGTCACTTGAAATAATTCCTCTCAGTTTTATTAGGCCACCAGTTTGATATACAGTAATTTCTTTCATTTTACTTTCAATTTTAGGAATCCTTTATTTTGTTTTATAATTATATATTTACATAGTTCCAAAGATCTATTTAAAAGTCCAGCTTCTACCCCGTTTCACTCAGTTGCCTCTCTCCCACTATAGGTAACAACGCTTTTTAGTTTTATATATATTCACCCCTACCCCTTTCTTACATAAGCAGTAACATATCATACACACTTGTCTGGCTTTGTTTTTTAACTTTACAGTAAATCCTGGTGTTCACTCTATGTCAGTATACAGAGATATTCTTCATTCTTTTTTTGCAACTGCATAGTGCTCTACTATGTGCTATTATATTTTATTATATGTTATAAAATATATTATCAGTCACTTGCTAATGGCACATTTGGTCGTTTTCTGTCTTTCGCTATCACAAATATTCCTGCTATGAATAGCCATGTGCATATATCTTTTCTCTTTTATTTGCTGATATAGCTCGGCAATAGTTTCCTAGAAGTGGAATTGCTGAGTCAAAAAAGCGAATCCTTATGAAATTAAGCTAAATATTCTCCAATTCTCCCTTGTAGTGGCCATATGATTGACTTTTGCATTGCCATCAGCAATAATAAGCATGCTAGTTTCTTTACAGCCTCATGAAGAGCATTGACAAACTTTTGCATTTATACCAGATAGGTGAAAAATGGCAATTCAGAAGTTTTAGTCTGCATTTCTCTTGTTATAAATGAAGTTTTGCTGTTCTGTATTTTAACCAAGCTAGCTTTCTTCCTCTTGAATCCTTAGAACTTTACCATGATCCACATGATAAAATTTCAGGGGATCCAGAAAGGCCTCTTTAACTAAGTTCCACTATATCCATTTCATTTTTTAATCTTTTATTTTTGGAATTTAGTGCCTGAAGAAATAAAAGGAGTAGCTTAGAAAGGAAATTTATAGTTCTCAAAGTCATCTTTGCAACTTTGGTTATATCTAATAAAAGCAATGACTTTCACTTATTATTATGTACTAGGAACTGATTGTTTTTCATATATTAGCTCATTTTATCTTCCCAAGAATCCATGAAGTAGGTACTGTTATCTTCATTTTAGAGGAAATTGAGGCCGATATTAAATAAGTTAGAAAGAATACATAGCTAGCAAGTGGTGGAATCTGGATTCAAAACCAACCAGGTCCAATTGTCTTTGCTATTACTCTCCATACTGTGGTAGCTAAAGATAAGCCCTGTCTCTAAGTCTCCTAAATTTGGTGGGGTGGGGTGGGGTGGAGGGTGGAAATAGAGAGAGAAATATGATTAAGATGAGCCTAGGGAGAAAAGCCAATTCAGATTGCTGATATCTTGTTTCATTATTCCTACCTATCTCCGGGTATTCTATAACAAGCCTTCCATCTAGGAAAATTTTTCAAATAAATCCTCATTAACCAAGGTAAATTTTTATGTCTTGCAAAAGCTAAGATTCAAAAAAGACCTTACAGAAGTTTTTATTAGCATCTACTGATCTACTGTTGCCATCTTGAGGTAAACTGATTTTTGATAAGGAAGTATACTCAGAGTTTTAGTGTAGGGTCTCCTTGAAATTTAATCTTGCCTCAACTTTTTAGAAAATGAATGGCTTTCATTTTTACTAGCCTTCCATATCAAGAAAGTGGTTCAGCTTCAAATAAGATATTCGATTCCTGTTTTTATCATTCTAAATTCTGGTATAGCAACATAGAGGTCTATAGTTTCCCTGGAAAAGTTTATAAACTGCTAATGGAACTCTTCTGTTCTTACCATATCCTAATGGAAATCTTTTCCCACAAACATATTTCCAAAAGGAGAGGGGAAAATATAACGGGAATAGGGAAAAGGAAAAAAGGCAAAATTCGAAGAACTCTAGAACGTGAACTGTTTATACTATTTTTTTTTAAGTGAACTCAATTACATGAGTGGATTCCCTGAATTGTGGAATAAATCTTTGATGTAAATTCATTTTACAGACATCTCAGGAAATTCCATAATACATTACTTAGTCTTATTAATATCTCAGCTCTGTTTTGTATGTCAAGAAACCCTTTAGATTTTCCTATTCTTAGACTATTTTCCTGACTTTATTAAAGATTTGAGAGGATAACAGGGGTCAGTCTGGCAGTCACAGATCAGAGGAAGGAGTAAAATATGAAAAGTATTAGAAAAGCTGGGTAGCATCTCAATTCCTCTATAAAAGGCCTCACAAAATGGCATCATTATTATGCTGGAAGTGAATTCACAAATTTCACATACCTCCTAGTCTAAGTAGAAAGACATTCTAGAGCTATTTTGTTGTTTTTAGTACCCACATGTCTAAAAGCTGAATAAAAAAAATTGATCACCACTTACTGACTCTATCACATTACTAAATTAGCTTTCCTCAGGCTCAACTTACCCTCAAGCTTTTGTGAGTCAGATAGTTTTTATGCCTGTACTTTAACTTTAACTGTGTAAGCTAAGTAGAGAATCTTTTCTCACTATCAGACAGAACTCAGGCAAGGGCCATAAAATTTTGGTTAGAAATTACACATTTTTTATTTTGAAAAAGATAGACAAAATACAATAATAAAAACCAATCAACCAGGCTTGTCAATATTTGTGACATGATACATATATGTATATATACCATCCTTATTATATATCATATATCATATATAAATATATAAATGCTTATAGGAAATCACATGAAGAAGAAACATAGTAAGATGTTTGAAACCAAGGCTAAGCAGATTTCTGATGAAATACAACTGAAAGTTTTGCTTTAATGTTTAGGCAATGTTAGGCATTAGATATTATGCCCACTCTTCTATATCTCATTTGCAAATCAGCAACTTAAGGTTCAAAACATGATCGTTGGTTATTTTAGTAGGATATTTTTTGGCAATGATCTTGCTTCCTTACGAACAACTATTCATCCACGATGTTGAGGTCTTCTTATGTTAGAAAGTGTGATGAACACAAGGATCACTGGACCCTGGTGATACAAGAATACAATAATATAAAAATACTGATGCACACATTTTGAAGCAAAAGAGAACCCCAAGTCTGAAAATAAGCCTAGGGTAGTTACAGTACTGATAAAAATAAATATGTTCTGAGGCTAAGCAAGTCTTTGTATACCACTTCCTTATGCACAATAATCTCAAGAGAGGTAAAATATCTAAGCATTTTGTAAGGTAAACCTCTAAAAGTTTTATCACAATGTGCCTTTTTCTTTGCTTTGCTCTACCTTTCTTTTTTGCCTATTCCTAAGGCTGCCAATGAACATTCTCAGGAATTGCTCAGTGTGTCAAGGCCCCAAGACCTACTCCACCCAGGTTTGATGATATGCATGGAAGATTCACAGGACTCAGCATATTCATGGTTATGATTATTGAAGTAAAAACATAAAAACAAAAGGGCAAAGGGAAAAGGAACATGGGGCAAAGCCAGAGGTAAATCAGGCACAGCTTCCAGAGTTCTCTGCCAGTGGAGTCACATAGGATGTACTTAATTCCTCTAGCAACTGAGTTGTGACATATGTGAAATATCTGCCATGAAACAGATACAGTACCCAGAGTTATTTTTGCAGGCTAGTTATGTAGGTATCTTCTGCCTAACATGTATCAAAATCCTAGACTCCCAGAAGAAAAGCAGGTGTTCAACACAAACCACATTGTACAAACAGCTTTGTCACAGAGAACAATTCTTATCAGCATGAGTGGAGGGAACCCTCTTGAAATCTAAGTTCATGGCAAAGGACCCACCTTGCAAACAAGGCTTTCAAAAGATAGAGGTCAGGCCTGCTATGTTACTCTTTTCTACACATTTAATGACAATCTCATAGGAACAGTCAACATATTTTCAGATTCAAAAAGACTCTTCTAATTCAGAAACAAGCATTAAAAAAAGAGACATAATAGAATCTACTGCTTGAGATATGGATAATACACTCATGTTAATAAACTATCATAATTATATTTGATCTTCACAAGTTTTATTGAAAAGTGGAATGAAAATACATGAAAAACAAAGGAAAATTCATTTTGGTCTTAATTAACGTGGAAACTTAGTACCTCAATATAAAGAGGGTTCTTCCAGTATTGCTAGCAGCAAAACCTATAAATATCCATGTTACCATTGACTAGAAATGGACTTCACATGACTACACATATTTAAGCAAAAATACACAGTTGAATCACTTGCCATTAATAGTATGGACATGAACTTTAGATGTACAAGGCATAGGAGGAGTTATAATACGTTTATGAAGATAATTTTCTTCAGCTAATATTTTGGGGATACAAGAGGAAACTTCCTTTTGTTGTTCTCGCCACTTGAGTATATTCTCTGCCAGTTCTTCTGTCTCAGTGACCAAAACATCCATCTTTGCTAAAGCCTTGCTCTGTAACATTTGAAAGAAGGGAAAAATAGGTGAGAAATTATGTCTGTCATTAATACATCATTACTATATTCATAAATGGTTATAACTCCAAAAGTTAACACCTAATTTTTCCAGTCCTTAATATAAAGGTGCTCTCCTACTTCTTAGAGTACACTCTTTTCCTTTGTGAATTCACCTCTCCTTTGTCTTCAATTATCACCTCAATGCAGATGACAATCTATACTGTCAAACCTAATCTCCTTCCTAAAATTTAGTCCCACATTTCAGTCTTTTGGGAATCTACACCTGGATGTACATTTAACATCTCAAACTAGACTTAACTGCAGTTCAACAATGATTGAACTTTTACTATCTGTGCAAGACACATCAAAAAAGACTCATTAACTTCTCTAATCTCTTACTCCTACTTACCCTTAAGTCACTAAAGCTAGAAACTTCATTGCCTTGAATGTGTCCCTTGTCCAAACACATTCTAGAAATTTGACCTTCAAAATCTAAAAATCTACACAATCCTTTGAATTCCTAAGCTTTAAATCTTTTTTTTCTGAATGACTATATTTATTCTCTAAGTTTCTCTGCCTTTGGTTCCTCTGCTTAGTCCTAATTTACAGCTTAATGTGCATAGGAATCACCTGAGGAACTTGTTAAAATGTAGATTCCGATTCTGAAAGTCTAAGGAAATAAAGTCTGTAATTCTGCATTTCTAACAAGCTTCCAGTTGATGCTTATGCTGCCTACACTTTGAGTGGCAAACCCTGAGCTAATCTCTCTCTCAATACCTTTAAGCATCACCCAAAGTGGAGTACCACTCTTCTCCCAAACTACCTGTACTCTCAAATTTTCATGTCTTTCCTAGCATTGCTGCTTTTGGCCAAACTATTCTTTCTGATGCATGTTCAAATCTCGCTGATTCTTTAAGATTCAGCTCACTACTAACTCCTATATGAAACTTTCCTGAAGTATTCCCTCTGCCTTATCCTACTACCAATCTCCCTAAAGTGGAAGTAATCCCTCCTTTTTCTGTGCTTAATAGATAGCATCTTCTTTATAATTATCTGCTGTACTCATTGTGCAAATATAATACTATAAAGTAGAAAGTATCTTATAGGTCTCTCACCAAACCTTGAGAATTTGAGGGCAGGGAGTGGATATACCTGCTTATCTCTAATGATACCTTGCAAAATGAAGATAATACATGTTTATTAAATATTGCAATAAAAGAATGTAAAATAACTTTTAAAGAAAATGATATAAAACAAGAAAAGGCATCTTGATTTAAAAAAATTATTCGCTCATAATACTAGCCATGAAGAAGTTAAACAAGTAGGTCATACATCTGAGATTCTAGTATAAAAGAAATAAAGACAGCTAAAAGTAATGTGAAAGGAGTTGATGAATTACTTAAATGCTATTGTTAATACTCACCATTTTCTTTAGATTTGCATCTAAATGAGGGATGTTTCTAATTGTTTCAATATGGGTTTCTAATTTCTCAATGAAAGTCACTGCCAACTCCAGCAAATGTACCATGTATCTAAAAGAGGCGGGGGGAAGCCAATTTCTTCTTTTAGTTTAGTTATTTTGTGTTCCCTTTTTCTTCCCGTTAATTAGGACTTTTAATATGAGATAAGAGAGTTACAATGAACCCAATGAACTAATAATAAATAAACTTTCTGCATTCATGGAAATATCAGTGAAAATAAAAAGGTCCTTCTCTTTCATTAAGCAAGAATTAACTTGTCATCCAAACAGAAAAATAGAAACAACACTATCATATCTGAAACTCAACCTAATGTTAGACAAACCTCAGTATTAACAATTTTCTCATGCAACTAAAGGAATTTCGTTACATAAAACCTACATATAAAACTACTTTGAATCTTTGCATTGCAACATGCTTTAAAATCATTACTCAGTTCTCCTGATATATACAATATATAATATATACATTAATGGTATTTTACTGTACTGAATAGATACTGAATATATCCACAAGAATGGGATTTGTATATTATATTACTCTAAGATAAAAAAAAAATCTGATTCTTAAGAGAAGATACTGATTTGCTCAGGGTCTGCTAGTGAGGCATTGGTGGAGAAAGTTAGCAATCAGATCCCCAGATGCCTGCTTGTTTATTTTATTATGATTTATTATTAATAATAACTTACATCTTCAATTTGGTACTTGCAATACTCCTATGAAGAAGAGAGCAATAGAAAGCATCTGCATTCTATAAATTGGGAAACAGGCAAAAATTTAAATCACTTGCCCAAGGCTTTGAGGTAAAAAAACAGCAGATATGAGATCAGAACTCGTTTTTTTTCTCCTTAAGTTGACATTGTTTTCATCTGTCCCTACTTAAACTCCTCCAACAGAATTTTTATACACAAGCAACATTAATGCAATAAATTTACTTCATAGAAAACAGTCTATACATAATAAAAATTATTTTTACCCAATTTACTCTATGTTATGAATCTAATTTCTTTCATTAAAATTATTATTTATAATGGGCAAAAAGAATGCCTTTCTTTTCACCGTAGCTAGAATTCTTTAAAAGCAAAGGATTTTCTTTCTGGTTTAATGTATCAGCATTAATAATAATGTTAACAGGTATAATCACTAATATGTCATTTAATGAATTATGCTATGAAGACTATGTTTAAATTACTTTCAGAAAACATGTGTAACTGTTAATTTCTACTTTAAAGTCTAACCTGTGGTAAATAGCTTCAATAGGCAGGTTTTCCTGGCACATGGGTTTCAATAGTCTTTGCCTGAGAGACCTCTTCTCTTTTAGCACTGCTTCCAAATGATTATTCATGCTTTGCAGAGTATGACACTTTTGAGCTACAAAAACCAGAAACAGTAATTACAGTTATCAATAGGACAAGTAAGTTTTGAAATCACTAATAAGTTCTTCTTTGCTTTGGTTTGACACTACCGATATCAAAAATTATCCCACCATCTCCCTCCTAAATATTTCCCCTTTGTTATCCTTAATACCAATATCAATTTCACTTACAACTATTGTCTCTTATTTTTCCTTCCGACAATCAAACCCAATAATAAATTCTTTGTGTTTTTCAACTCTACTCCTGGTTCCATTTTATAGCCTAGTTCAGTTTTTATTGCCAGAGTCAAATTCTTCACATAAAGTCACTTTTCTTAGCTCTGCCTCTAATATTCTACATAAACATTAAAAACAAATATTTATCTTATAAGCTATTTCTGGTTATTTCAATATTTTCCCCAGAATTCTTTTAATGGCTGCCAATTGCCTCTTTTTTTAAATTTCTATTTTGAAAACATTTCAAACTTACAGAAAAGTTCACTTAAAGAATAGTTCTCTGAACTCCCATATACATTTCGTCTAGACTCACTGTTAAGACTTGACTACATTTTTTCTTTTTTCCTCTTTCTCTCTACACCTTTACAGATATTTTTGCTGATCCTTTTGAGAGTAAGCTGCAGATATCATGACCTTTTACTCTTAAAACTTCAGGATGTATTTCCCAAGAATAGGAATATTCTCTTATATAACTACGGTACAAGTATCAAATTCAGAAAATGTAACATTGGCACAATACTAACAATATTTAATGCAGCCCATATTTAAATATCACCAAGAATCTCAATTATGTCTTTGATAGCAAAAAAAATTTCTAATCAAGTATTTCATCTATAATGCTTCAGCTGTCATGTTCTTTTAGTATCCTTGAATCTGAAAAGTTCCTCAGCCTTTTTTTTTTGTCTTTCAACCTCTTCTGACATTGAAGAGCTCCTACCGTCATTATTTTTTATATAATTTACACTAGTCAAGCCAACAGGACTTTTATTTGAGCAGAGAAATAGAAAACTTTGTTAGCTTTGGGGCAATACCTGGAAAAATAATAGTATTGATTATTTAAGGTAATCCAAGAAAAAGTTGAAATTCCAATGATTACCCATTTAGCCAACTACTTACCCAAAGAGGAAGGATGAACAATATCTGCTGTATCTTTTTCTAGTCTTAGAAGTTCAATTTCCAGGTTTTTCTAAATTAGAAACAAAAATATTTAGCTCACTCAGAAAGTAGCCTGATGTAAAGGATTAAAATGGATAGTTTTTAACCTAGGAATATTTAAGGGAGGTGGGAGAATGATTTATGAGCACACAGGCAAAATTTACTGAAGCTTTTCATATTGGTATTCAAGCCCTGTTGCTGCTACTGCTACTAATACTAACTACTACTATTACTATTACAACTATCACTAACTACAACAAGTAAACATCTATCCAGCTATGTGCTAGACCCTGTTCTCAGTGCAAGAGAATTGCTGTTGGAACCAAATAAGATTTTTTTTCCCCCCTGTACTAGAAGTAGAAAGTAAAAAGTACAATGATTTACCTGGTTGATTTCAGCTTGAATATCTGTGATGTGCTGTAGCCTGGAGAATTTCACAAAGCAAGAAGCAGGTTTCTTAGATATATTTAACATCTCCTATTGGAAAGTGAAACGAGAAAGCAGCAGTATGTCAAAAGTTTCTATGTGCATTGAAAAGCATGCCCGTGAGTCTAAAATATGAGGCGATACTACATCCATCACTGCCCCTGAAAAATGAAGTACAGAGTAGAACAGTAACAATGTGTATTTCCTGTTTTTAAAGCTTCCACTATCACAAATCCTTTGCCCAAATATTTAAAAAATAAGAAAAACAAATAAGACTTAATCACTTTATATTATTTCCTAAAGTACCAGGCACAATAGATTTGTATTACTTATAGCTAGCTTATCAGAGGATTCTAAGGCTGAGGTTGGTGGAGAATCACCTCTACAGAAATGACCAAAACTTATTTGATTTATTAAATGACCTCTATTGGCTACAAGTCATTCACACTATTTCTTTTTCACATTCTCACTCTCTTAAAGGAATGTTTTATCTAGGAATAATTATTCTTCTAAAAAGGTTACCCCTTCCTTTTCATCCTTTCATGTTGTGATATTGCCTCCTTAAATTGCAGGTTATCTCAGAATAAGAATATCATCATGTTCATCCCTTGGCCTTATCCATAATTTTCTGTGTCTTCTGCTTTTCTAGAATGTTAGCATAGGAAAGAACTTTAGAGATCAAATAGGCCAGGGGTTAGGAAACTAGAATCCATGAGGTAAATGTAGCCCACTGCCTGTTTTTTTACAGCCCATGAGCTAAGAATGGTTTATATATTTTTCAATTGTTGGGAGGAAAAATCTAGAGAAAAATAATATTTTGTGACACATGAAAATTATATGAAATTCAAATTTTAGAGTCCAGAAATAAAGCTCTCTGCCCTTAACAAGCTCATGAAGGAAGGGAAGAAAAAGAGTATTCTAGATAGAGAGAACTTAACATTATAAATGCTCAATAACTGTTAGTATTAATATTTACGTGAGAAGGGGAAGAGGAACTTGGAAACAGTTTCCTGCAGAATCATGGAAGATATTGATAGCTGTGATAAACAATCATTATGCAGAAATTAGAGCAATTGAAAGTTTACTGGTGAAGAAGTAACATAATCATACATGATACATATTTTAGAAATTTAAATGGGGGTAGTATGAAAAAGAAAACGAATGGGGCTGGGGAGAAGGGATGGGGAGTGACTTGCTTAATGAGTATGGGGTTACCTCTGGGGATGATTAAAAAAAGTTCTAAAGATAGTTTCACAGCATTGTGACTGTACTTCATGCCACTGACTTCTATACTTTAAGATGGTTAAAATTGTAAATTTTATGTTATGTGGATTTTACAGTAAAACAGAACACTTTAGTAATTCGCCAATAACATAAAACAAAAAACGAAATGAAACTAGTAGAGGGGTGGACTAGAGGTTGAGACAGGTTGCTGCTACAGTATTTCAGATGAGAAGATGAGAATGTGGACTAGGTCAGTAGCAGTTGAAAAGGAAAGGAAGGCAGAGATATGAATTTCTAGGAAGATGAAACTGATAAATCCTGGTAGATATAGGTAGTCAGAGGTAGTTAACGCTGACTCCAAGAATCCTGCTTCAGGTGACTGAACAGACAGTTATATCATTCACTGAGGTAGATAACACAAGATATTTTACTGATGGCGAAATTGAGGATTGGGGAAGTGTTAGTCCAACTTCACACTGCCAATGTGAATCAGGGCTGAAATGAGAACACATCTAATCCACTGCATTTCCATCACAACAGCCTGACTCTTACTTTTCTTTCCACCCTCTTAGGTAGAAGGTAAATGAAAGTAAAACACCTCCCTTTTGTTACTGTAACCTACTCACTCTCTGGTATTGTTCCATCTTTCTATATTTATACACTAATCTTAGTTGTATATTTGCAAACTAGTAACCTGTTGGGTTCAAGAACAAGGTAATGGAGCTTAATCAAGACCTTGTAAGAGAAGCAAGAGGGAAAATAAGAATGTTCAAGAAAGGAAGAGCCGAAAAGGAGAAAAAAAAAAAGCAGCCAAATTCCTCTAGTAAACAAAACTTCTAATTATTTGAGGATTGTGACTTAGCCCTACACCTAAATAAACAAAAAATTTTAAAAAGCAAGGATTGGGGGAATACAGAAAAGTCTTTACCATTGACTAATGCTATTATATATATTACATACTTTACATGCCACTAGGACAAGGGACCCTGAAAAATTAAAGAATCTTGAGAAAACGGGTCTGTTTACAGTATTTTGTTTACTCTTTTGTTAGGCACAAACTGAAATCCAGGACTTTTATGCTTAATATAAAAATCCTAACTGTGTAACACACACACACACACACACACACACACACACACACACACACACACCTGTATCTCTTTCTTATTTCTGTCCTTTCTTCATGCTGAATTCTAGCTGAGAAACATTAAAAGGGAAGCAGTAAAGCAGAGAAGACCAGAGGCTTTAAAATGGTGTAGAGTGCAGAGGAGGATAGGATACAGATTGAGAAATTGAGTCATATATACAGTATCATATCTAATACTGTATACTCAATATAATACTATAATACTCAGGTAGTATTCCTGAGTTCTTTTTGTAGGTCCAGATCCTTATCTTACACATTGCCAGTAGAGAGAGCTTTGATGAAGATGCCATGACTCACTCAAGTTTGCCTGAAAAATATCTAGAATGTAAGGCCATTAAAGCAGTCCTCAGGCATATACGCTTCATTATCCTGCAGACAATTAATGCTACTTTTCTTTCATTATGTCATTCTCCAATGGATAGATCAAAACAAAACAAAGCTCAAACAAGCTATGTTTTCTAGAAGAGTTGTATCATATCACAATTTTAAGTATTACTCTTAATATTTAATGCATATGGGAGAATGTGCACTTGAGGGATGGACTGTTTAAAAGGATCATATAACACATCATTTTGAAAGAATCAATGCTAAATCCTAATATAAGTAGGTTTTCATATATAAAGTTTGCTTAAAGTAAAATCACGCTATAAATCTTCATTGGAACTATCAGTGCAGTAAGATTGTAAAACAATCTTACTATAGAAGCTATAGATTGGCAGATTTTACCTGCAGGCAAAACAGGTAACTGTCTAATTATTGTTACCTGAAGGACACTAGGAAAATCTTCCCCAAAACCACCACCACTTGAACAAACAGCTCACCCATCAATGCGTAAAATTCTCTCACCAGACTTACTCCTTTAGGTGTTTATATCTTCTACCAATAGCTCTAAAGGGATACATCCCAAACGTCTTATGAGTTTATTAAATTAAATTGTTAAAGAACTGGTAACAACTGAGAATAATAGGCAACTTGGTAGGAAGAAAACGTCAGAGAGACTGAGGAAAGGAAGAACTGGTGAGTGCTGTGGTTATGTTTTGCCTATTTTCCAATGCATTCATTAATACTACTCGTTTCCCCCACAATCCATAAGGTCTTGTTACTAGGTCTTCAAGTAATCCAGAAGAGTTCTTCAACAGAAGTTTAAAATCTTTCAAGATAGTGTCACAGTATCATCTATCACAGTTCATTTTAAAGATGATATGTCAGAAAAGAGAGCTCTGGTGTCTAATACTACTTCGTTAGTTGAGTGACCTCGAGCAAATTTCTTGGTCTCCTTAGGCTTTATTTTCTTGTATGTAGGGTTTTTGTGCTTTTTTTAAAAAAAAATGTTCAATTAAAAAAAAATACTGTGAGGTAGTTGAATTCTCTAATGACTCTTCTAAGTATAAAAAGTTGTGTATTTTCCATAAATCTTCCATCACGTTTATACTAATAATTTCTGCAGATAATTTTACATTTCCTTTGTTTCCTTTTTTAGAGAAATCCCTCAACGTCCTCATTATTTAAAAAAATTTTCCCTTATTTCTCTCAATCCCACTTTCCAGATTCCTTTGTCACTTCTGCCACGTGTATTCTATTATTCCCTCACATCTTCCATTTCTCTATTGGCACCTTCCCTTTGGCCTATGAACATGTTCCTCCTGCCCAACCTAAAACCAGCATCCCTTAAGCTAATCTCCCTCGTCTCTCTTCTCAAAATTAATCCCTTCCTAGATTCATGTTCCAAGTTCTTTAGGGTCTTTTTCACTAATACTACTTTTTTTTTTTTTTGCTTTTAAGGACGTACGCTTCCCCTGGCACTCTCCTGTACCCAGCACCTCCCAAATGTGCTTCAATACCTCACACACAAACAAACATTGTTTGGGAATGTATGTTTTAACTACCTAACAGTTATTTCCCAACCCCGTCACCTATTACAATACAGAGGCGGTATTACTGTATGAAAAAAAGCGAGGGAAACAGTGGTTTTTATTATCTCCCACGAACTGACCTCGGATAACTGGCCTGCAGACAGACACTTGAAACACCGTTTACTCGAAACGCCATCTATTCAGAGCCCCGCTTTCGCAGAACCCACTGCAGAACGGTATCTGCTGTTGCCTGGAAGGGGCTCCATCTACCTCGCCCCTAGCCAGCACCCTCACGCCACTCCCACAGCCACCACCACCACTTCAGAGCCATCTTCTGTCACCACCGTGGGCACCCCCTTAATGACGCCATCGCTGCCCACATACCTGAGTGACCATCCCTGAAGTTACGAAATGACCCAGCAGTAGCCTGGCAGCGTTTGGCGCCGACGCCGGGTCCCAGGGGTTCGCCGAAGCCATAACTGGGACCAACCTCTCCGGGTGGCTCGAGAATGAGTAAAACGAAAAGCTAGCACGCCGCGCAGATCGATGACGTCAGAGGGCGTTTCCACCGGGGAGGAAGCAGAGGGAGCATCTCCCGGACTAGCGCGGGTCCCGGGTCTCTCCCAACCCAGCCAGCTGTGAGCTGACGAGTAGGAGGCGAATCCGAGTCTCCCTGATCCTAGTGGCGATCCCCGAGGCTCCTAGCGTCGTCTAGCCTCAGAAGTGCCGGGGCCTTGGCGGTCAGGCTGTCTGTTCTTCCCTTTCTTCTTTGCCACTCTTGGGCTGGCCCCCAAGATCCAGAGATCTGCAGGAGGTGACAGCTAGATTATGAGACCCAGGCGGGAGGCCGATGGGGTGGCTGGGTTCCTGGATCCAGAGCTAACAGCTGCACTTCCTTTCCGCAGGGACCCGAGCCGTGGCGCTAAGATGGGAAACAGTGCCCTTCGCGCTCATGTAGAAACCGCGCAGAAAACTGGTGTTTTTCAGCTTAAGGACCGTGGGCTGACCGAGGTGAGATTGGGAGGGTCCCGACCAGGGAATTTAAAGGGAGAGGGACAGCGGGGGAGGTGAAGTTAATCGGTAAGGAATTCTCCGCGCTGTGAACCCCTTTCTCCAGTTCCCTTCAGAGTTGCAGAAGCTGACGAGCAATCTCAGGACCATCGACTTGTCCAACAACAAGATCGAGAGCCTACCGCCTATGATTATAGGGAAGTTCACTCTGCTGAAGAGCCTCTCCTTGAACAACAACAAACTGAGTATGGGTTTTGCGCCTGGGAAGCTTTTACTATTGATCAGCTGTTAAGAAGGGTGGTGTTCTCTTACAAGCTGATCTTTGTTGTTGTTATGAAACCGTTCAGAGAGCTCAAGACGCAGGAAAATGTCAGAGTCCTTGAAGCTTTCTCTTGTTAATTACATCTACAAGCCTCCTCTAGTGGTATAATGATTGGTACTGGGATAATTTGGACTTGAAACGGAAGACTATCTTTGGGATGTAAACGCACCTAATTTTGCTAATTGAGAAGGGAGAACGGGATAGGAAATCCCACAAAATTGCTGTCAGAGTGTGTAGAGGCCACTTTACAAAAGTAATCCATGATACACATAAATGCTTTCCTGTATTTTCATGGCACCCTTACCTTCTGAAGACTGTTGGTAAAAATGCAATACTTAAAAATGGCACATGTGGGAATTCTGTGTATATTAACAAGAGGCACAGCAGGCTGCCATAGCTTTTGTAAACTTGCCATGCAGATTCAGGTTTTTACATTTTTTTTCTTTGCCAGCTGTTCTTCCTGATGAGTTATGCAATCTGAAAAAACTAGAGACGCTAAGCCTAAACAACAATCACTTGAGAGAGCTGCCATCTACCTTTGGGCAACTGTCTGCCCTCAAGACCCTGAGCCTCTCTGGGAACCAGCTGCGAGCACTACCACCCCAACTTTGTAGCCTGCGGCACCTGGATGTGGTGGATCTCTCCAAGAACCAGATTCGGAGCATACCTGACATAGTGGGGGAGCTGCAGGTCATCGAACTCAACCTCAACCAGAACCAGGTCTAGAGCTTAAAGGTTTTTTTTTTCCTATGGTATATATATGGGTTTACAGTCTCCTGAATAACCAGTTATGGAGCTGGGCATGAGAAGCTAGTGAGAGGTATATTCTACAGGTTGGACTAATTTCCAAGCCCAAAGTGCCATGGAGTTACTTAAGACATTGGATATTTGTTGTGCAGTTTTTGTTTTTGTTTTTTTGAGGGTGGGATGGACAATGGGTAAGATAATTTCAAAAATTAAAGTACTGTCTCACAAACTTCAAAGAGTTCTTCAGATCCTCTTCAAACATGCCTCTAGTCATCTAGCAAGGAGCTATGTCAGGAAGAGTGGGAAAGAGGTTTTAAACTCATAGGTTCTCAGAGTTGGACATCAAAGCTAATTCAGTTGTCCTATTTTTGACATCTTTGTCAAGTGTGTGTCCTACTTTTGCTGAAAAACTCTAATAGGCTTTCTGGAGATAGCCCATTTCATTGTTGGGCAGCCTCGATTTTAATATTTGAAATGTTTCCATTACTTTGGAAGCTCTTTGGTTAATATGTGTCTGACTGGAGAAACAATCTTTGGTTGACATAAGGCAGATGATAAAAAGTTCAATATAGTGAGACTGCTAGGTGGCCTTTAGTTTTTCTAGTGTCTATGCTTCTAGGTCTATAGTCTGATACAATAACTATTAGCCACATGTGGCTATTAAAATTCATTTAATTAAAAAAATTCAGGTCCAGTTGCCACTAGCCATATTTTAAGTGCTCAAAAGCCCTATGCAGCTAGTGGCTACCATATTGAATATAACATTCCAATCACTGCATAATGTTTCACTGGGACAAAACTATTTTAGCTTGTAGTGACCTTACATTATGATGAAATTGTCTTTGTTCAAGGAGATTGGCCTCATCTTTTCCCTAAGTGGATATTCTTGTATGTTTTTGAGTTTTGGAAAAAAAATTGTGAATATTTGGAAAAAACTTGGAAACAATTAGTAAGCAACAGGTATTAGTTGAGCAGTTACTCCACATTCACCTATGCTAATGCCTTTATCAGTGGTTCTCAGATTTTAGTGTGCATCAAAATAACCAGGAGAGCTTGTTAAAAAGAGCTCATTGGACCCCCACCCTTAGTGTTTCTGTTTCAGCAGATCTGGGGTGGGATCTGAGAATTTCTAACAAGTTGCCAGGTGATGGTCTGAGATGATACTAGGTGGAATAAATAGAATTTGGTGACTTAGAGCATTTAATGGGCAAAAGAGGTGAATGAATTAAAGATAACTGCTTGGTATTGAGCTTGAGGGCCTGCAAGAGTGGTGCTATGGAGAACAGACACACTGAGTTGATTATGATGGTACATCATCAAACTGGAAATGTTGCACTAAAAACTGGAGACAAAAGAGTGGAATAGAGGTGAGAGGTTTGAATGCAGATACAGATTTTGAGGTCTTAACAGAAATGATAGCTTTAAGAATTAATGAACTTTTTAGTAGAACATTTATTAAGATCAAATATCAAGTGTTAGGGACTACTGCTTGAAAATGTCCCTAGGAATAAGGGAAGCAAAAAATCAGGAAAAACTCAAAAGATAGGAAGAAAATCCCAATACTTAGATACAATAGGGAGTTTCAAGGAAGGGGATAGATGGTACAATCAAATATTTATGTACACATAAAAGACTGGCAGTAAATGTACCAGACTTTGTGGTGGTGGACTACAGGTAATTTTTTTTTCTTTAAACTTGTGTGATTCTCAAATTTTCTATAACGAGCAGTGCTTTTATTATCAGAAAATTTAATTTCCAAAAAGCCACTGGTGACCTTCAGAAAGCCAGGGTTTTTTTGTTTTTTTGTTTTTTTTTTTCAAAAAAAGTGGAGGAGTAACAGAAGTTAGATGACACAGGCTTCTGGAATGAGTAGGTAGTGAGAAAATGGAGGCGGTAAAAGAACTAGGACAAATAGTGAAGTAAAGCTTTTTTGTTTTAATTTAGTAAAAAATAACCATTACAGTGCTTATGCTTTTTTCCTATCATTCTTTTTTGTTGTTCAATAGATCTCTCAGGTCTCAGTAAAGATATCTTGCTGTCCTCGCCTTAAAGTTCTTCGTCTGGAAGAGAACTGCCTTGAGCTCAGCATGCTTCCACAGAGCATCCTTAGTGATTCCCAGATCTGTCTGCTTGCTGTGGAAGGCAACCTTTTTGAAATAAAGAAACTTCGAGAACTAGAAGGCTATGATAAGGTATGTATGAGTGTACTTCTGCATTTCTAGTCTCTGCTCCAGAGAACAGAACAGCGAAGTAACCCACATGAATGTTTATAGCTATAGGCTGTATGTATAATCCTGTTTATCAATAGGATTTGTTCCCCATTTTGGAGGTGGGTTCTAAAAATCAGCCAATTCTTATACCAAGATGTTCAAGATGTATTGGTACAAATTTTTGTACTATACCAAGATGACTTTTTCTCTTGGCAGTATATTGTAAAGCATCTTTGTCTTTTAATAGATTTCCTATTAAAATGTAAATAAATTAAAAAGACCCCAAAACTATGTGTTTTAAATTTGCATTTAGAATAGGTAGATTATGTAGGAAATGAAGGACCACATCCAATGAAAACCTAAATGAAAAAAAAAATCATATAAAAACCCAAGTCCCAAACAGGCTTGTACTTGCTCATGCCAAGATACCACACACACACATATATATTTCTTTCATGATTTTTAGTACATGGAGAGGTTCACGGCCACCAAGAAGAAGTTTGCATGATGTTCTCCAGGAGCATGGGAATCCTTATGGGACATGGATTTGGAACCTGTTGCAAAATGGTGGAATCAGAGGCTCCTGTTGTTGTCAAGGATATCTGCAGTAAGGAGCCAATACTCTAGAAGATTGTATTTCATTTGAATCTTCTTCCTTTCCAGGCCTTATCTCAAATAAGCTAAAAGGAATCAAGAGACAGGAAGAGTTCTCCATTCTGAGTCATGTGGATAGGGCAATGGGACAATGTTGATCTTCAAAATCACCATTAGTTTGGCTTTAAGAAACCAGTAGCTAGTTACTATTTATACAGTGAGGGGATGCTGCCTGGTAATAGAATAGCTCAACACCACAACTTGAAATTTCATGTTTAGTTTCAATGTGTGAGCTTTCATAAAGTCAGCTGCCATTCCACCTCTGTGTTAACATTTCACATTTTTATGAAATTCAAATAATTTGTGAGAGGCTGCTAATGGTTAATAAGGATTTGTGATTTTATTTCAGTCTATTAGTTCAACTGCAGTATTTATACTTGGAATTTAGGATGTATATAAATATGTGACTGTCCTGATTAAAAAGTGTACTTTGTCAGAGAAGCACCAGAGAAGCAACAACACTAAGAGATGTTCCCCAAGGCTGCAGTAGCAAATTCTTTACTATTGCAGGTGCCTTATTAGTAGAGCGCTCTGAAGAGCTAAAACCATATATGCAACACTTGTAAGATACAAGAGGTGTTTTAATAATCAAGATTTTCCTGAAGCCTTGATAGAAATAATGTCTTATTTCTAGTATTCCTTTTCCCTTTTTGTATTTATAACTCTACTTATCAAATTACCTATCAAAAAACTACTAAAATATTTTAAAACCTATGTTTACAAAGTTTATTCTCTGAATGAGAGAATGCACTAAATAAAGAATTTTTAATAAACTTTGGCTGGAAGAAAGGTTAATCCTTTAAAAGAAGAGAAAGAGAACTTTAACCTGTAAATGGCCCTTTATTTGAAAGTAAACTGATTTTGAAGAAATGTTTCGTGTTCGGATTGCATGAGTATTGCAATGCCTTCGTGAGAATGATAAACATTTTGTGGTCCTGGAACTAAGCTTATTAGGAGAAACTGAAAGGTACAAAGGTAGATAGGTTCAGACTGTTAACTGACAAGAGCATTTAGAAAGCTACTACTCTGTCATTTTCTGAAGTTTCGTCTTAGCTAAGGAGCTATTATGTACCATGTATTGACAGTTCTCTTTTTACAAACCTAGTTTAACCTTTAAATCCAGAGATCTTAAGAGCCTAGTATTTAATCTATATGAGGAAGTCTCTGTGACCTTAAATCTGGTCTAGGTATTCTTTTCCCCATGTTTCCTGTTTCTCAGTTTGGGGGTAGAGGGGAACAAGAGTACCAGTTTATCCTTATTGTTTTTTTTCTTTAAAAAGAAACTAATCTTTAATTAAGCTTACTGATCTACTGACTGAACAATCAACATTTCTCTAAATATTTTATCAGTAGTTATTAACTACTAAATAAGAATTTATAAATTAAACTTGAATGTCCATGGCCATCTATTAGAATTTAAAAAATCTCCACCCCTATGACAATCAGTGACTATCTTTCACAACTTGGACCCAGCCTTATTTCCTGATACTCTTTCTTCATTTGCCTGCCTAGTTAGTCATACAAGATTATTCTGCTCCTTAAACCCAAAGTACAATGTCTCCTTTAACTGCTTTACATTGTTTGCTCAGTCAGAAATGCTCACTCTTACTAACATAACACATTCCTTCCCTATGTCTAAGCCCCTAAATCTAAGCCGAATTAACTGTTCCTCCATCTGTTACAAGGGCACTTCTCATATTCTATATTAATCTGTTTCTTGCTAGACTGAGAGTAACCGAAAGGCAGGAACTATCTAAAGTAATATGCCCAAAGTTATAATACACAAGTATTTAGACTTAAATATAAGCTAACGAAGTAGGTTGACTTGTAGTCTGGAGAACCACTTGCTAGTGGCCACCAGCCCTAAGTCACCTATGTTCTTTCAGAGCTTGGTTGGAAGTCAATGTGGAATACTAAGATCACAGGCCGTGAAGTCAGAAAGATCCTGGTTTGAATCCAAAGTCTGTCAATTATTAGCTTATGAATTTGAGCAATTTATTCTCAACTGTAATATAGGCAATACCTTCTACTTCTCAGGTATATTATGAGGATATGGTGAAAAGATAGATAAAAAGCATTTGGCACATGACGGAGTAAGCACTCAAGAAATGATGCCATTGTTTTATCTGTTAAGGTCTGAACAGATAAAATAGCAAGTTGTACAGAAACGGAAGGCTTAAAGTGGACACCAAGTTAAAAAGAGTAAGGACTTGGGTATCAATTTGCGAAATATAAATCTGACTAGAAATGTAATTGAGATAACTTAAAATTTTAGTAAGGGTCAACTAAAAAAACTAATTCTAAGTACAAGTGAGTACAGGATGTCTGGGAGGTAGACATTTAAATTTAAGGGGCTATTCATAATCCACACATGGCATGAAAAGATGTAGAGTTGAAGTAGTAATAAAGAGTGAATTAAAACTGAAGGAAGAAAACAATAGGCACAACTATAGGGGATAAAGATCATTGTTATTATTAAGACTGGAAACTTGAAGAGGGAACTTACTGTTAAAAGAAATCAAGTTTGGGGGCGGGGGGATACTGTTTAACTCCTTAGTTATAGGTTAGTATTATGCTCAATGTCATACAACTACTAAATGACTGAACCAAAATTTGAACTCTGGTGCAAAGCAGTGCTAACCACTTTACAACCTTTCAGAAGTAATGGAAACAAGTTTCCAAACAATGTTAACAGGAGAAATCAGAAAAGTCAACAGCTTCTACTTCTAATGCATTATGGGCCTAATTGCTATGGCCTCATCCCTCTTCTTTCTTAGTAGCACAATCTTTGAAAAACTTTGTAACCTGAGATCCATGAATGGGCTTTCAAGACCCATTTATGTGATTCAAGTTTGTGTATCTGTTTCTCTGGGGAGATAGGCTGTGTTTTCTTTCATTGAATTCACAAAGGGATCCTTGCTCCCAAAAGTGTTCCACTCTAGAGAGAATGCAGCTATCATTTATTAAGCTCTTAAAATTGCTGGGCACTGCTCTAAGTGCTTTCTATGCATTACCTAATCCCCATTTACAGACAAGGAAACAGGCACAGAAATGCGCTTACAGTCACTCAGTCAGGAAATGGCAGAACTAGAGTGTAAATCCAGATAATATGGTGTCTAAGGTAATACTTCTAACCAACCATAATTATTTTCAAAACTATTTCCTCTAGCCATAACGGTGTTAAAAATTTTTTTTTAATGCTTTTAGGAAGGGCATTTAAATCTTCTTACTTTATACATATACCATCACCTGCCAAAATGATTCCTTTTGGCATGGAACATTTCTATTACAGAGGGCCTAATTAAATCTCACTTTTTTCCTCTTCAGCCTTTGAACATTCTCATGTCAACTGTATCTTCTCAAGTGGGTTGTAGTTCTCTCTCATAAATATCTTTTCAGTTGCTAATATATGTAAGCTCAAATGAATAAAAAACTAGCAGTGATTAAAATGAACCTCATGACAAATCATCAAAAGTCATTTCAGTATTTCCAATAAAAATGGGAATGATGCTAAAGGCAGCTTTCTGCTGGAGTGCTTCTTACTTTATGAACCGTTGCTTTACTCAGTTTGTTAAATAAAAGCTGATGAAATGATTGCCCCCCAACCCAAAACAGCCACAGGAGCACACTTACCTATTTGAAAGAACAATTCCATTAGTTACAAAATTTAATTGTAAGAATCAAGGTGGTTATTGGTCAAACCAATCACATTAATAGCTTTGAAGTGTACAGGTGCTAGCTTTAAAATAAAGGTGACAAATACCAATCAGATTTTTATAACTGTTCAGGATCTAAATAAACGTGATTCTGACATTAGTTCACAAGGCTACAGATGCTAAGTACACAAGGCTAAGAGAATGACAGTGCAATGATGATTGCAATAATGAAACCAAAGGTGTAATTGCAATAATGAAACCAAAGGTGTAATTTTCCAAATTACTTTTAGTTTAACAGAATTCTAGCTTTTTGAAAGTCTTAAGTCTACATAAAACTCAAGGCAATCTAACAATTTTTCTACCTGAGATCAAAACAAGTTTCTTTTTTCTATCTAAACATAATTCTTGGCATTGAGGTAAATCTGAATTCATGTGATACACTTTGTCAAACTTTTCCAAAAAATTTTAAGCCCTTCAGAGAGAAATTCTCATGTTACACATACATATTTACATATTTTTTTCTTGAAAGACTAATGACAAATTTATGAGGTTAAAAGGCTTGTAATGGAACCATGATACTAATAATACGAAAATAAAAAGCCATTAACTTATACAAAGTGTTCTTGTATGGTGCAATATGAAATGTAATCACAGAATCTATGTACATATATGAAACACCAAGAGTTCGGGAATTAATCTCACTTTAAAAAACTTATTCTATTCTTTTTTGAAGCAGAGGTTGCAAAGTTGTGATGTATAACAAAAATATTGTGTATAAAAGCTCCAAAACCAATTATTAGCCTAAGTTGTCAATAATTGCAACTTAAATTAAAAACTAAACCCAACTAGATCTTTACTGTGGATAAAACTTTTTGCTTTGTGGCCTGAATGTTTTACTGAGGTAACCTCTTACCTCTTGCTTGTCCTTCTTGCACTCCCCGACCCCTGCCCCCAGCTTCCTTATTCATGGCTGTCTTTGGCAATGCTTCCAAATCTTGAAAGCAGAAGAACCTGCTACAGTAAACAAGGAAGGTGAACAACAATGCTATATATGATGTATGAAAACCAATCTAAGAGGATAAACTGAGAAAGAAATACTAGAGGGAAGGCCGAGCAGCAGTCTATCCTCAAGGGAAAAAGATAAAATAATAAAAAACAAACGGGGGCTGTTACTCCTCACCCTTCTTCTACATTATCTTCTGATTAGAAGAGTATGGAACCAAATATTCAAACTCTGAAAAGGCAATGACTTCGAAGGAAGAGCTAGGCAAGTGACTAAATGGTAAAGAAAGCACAGCAGTATTTTAGCTGTCAATGAGTTTCTTGGCTCTGGCATTGGCATTGTCAATACGATCTTTGTTGGTGTCAGCCTGAAAAAAAAGAAAAAGACATCAACATTACTTTACAAGGTAAGTTGGTCTAATAAAAGTTAAATTTCATACACTTGGAGTAATTGACAGAAAATTCAGGAAGTCATAGTACAAAACTCATTTTGGACAAGAACTATCAAATTTATTTGGAAAACCGTGAGTGCATAAATATGACATATAACAGAATTTGCCAGTATTTTATGCATACTGTACCATTTTTGTCATAGTTTAACACATCTGAAACTGGGATCTTATAATCAATGGCATTTTAGACACAATGAAATATAAGAATGCTCTTCTCTGCTACAGTTCTGGACCTTGAGGGAGTCCCCTGAACTAAATCATAGAATCCCATCTGGGCCTACCCTAGGTCTAAGCCAGAGAGACTGAAATAACCTTCCCCAAGATCTTTGGAATATACATATCACCACATCCACAATAATATCTGAATTAAAATGATGGGTAATATGTAGCCTAAACCTATGTAATAGCATTGAAAGCATCATTTGCCTCAGTGAAATCCACTGTGATTCAATACCTAAGCTTAAAAACTCACCCCATCCTTCAAAGCACACTGAGATTTTAATGCAGTGACAATAAATAAGAATGGCGTTTAGATGTGACACATCCAAACACTGAACACGATTTCACTTTCAGTGTCTTTTATATTATGTGAAATAAAAAAATTGCAATCACATTTTTCGTTACTTACAGGGCTCTTCTGTGTGTCCATTCCACAAGAACCATTCTGCAGAACTGATTTTTACCTACTGACTTATGAGATGAGGATTCAGGAACTTACTAATTTGTTATTTAACAAAATAAAACTCCAGAAACTAACTTGCTAATTTTTTGGTGGGGTGGGGGGGTGGGGCGGGGCAGCGGGACCACACAAAGGAAGACCACACAAAGATTAGAACAGATTCTAAGCTTCATTTGTGAAATTTTAAATAAAACCACTTCATTCCAAGGTCTTGGTTTCAAAATGAGACAACTGCCACGAGCAACAGGAGAACTTAGCTATTGTTTTACAATGTGTTAGAATTGGCGTCCTCATCAAAATTCTAACACCAGTGAGGACAGGATCTTATCCTATTGTTCTCCCTGAAGTATTTAGCACAGATATCCATTACTAAAACATTGTACCAAATGTCTCATATTCCTATGGCACTAAGAAGCTTTTACCTTTTCTGTGATCCGGTGTATTTGTCGATTTTGGGCCTCAATCTCATTGCCCATGTCCAGAGCCATGTTTTTTAGATTTCCAAGGATACCGCCCACTTGAGTCAGGTTCTCTTCCATTTCATCTTCTCTGGCATCATTAGTTATACTATCACGAAAATATATTTAATTTGGTATTTTTTAGTAAATTATAAATAGACTAAGTCTAGATTTAGTTTTCACAAAAATAAGCAACCAAAATGACTCTCAGCAAGTGTTAGACCCTAAGAAATGTAGGGTACCATTATTGGAAATATTCTATACTAAAAATTGAAAGAGTGATCAAGGAGAACACAATGTCTTAAAAGCTATGTAAGAAGATTAAGAAGCAACTCTAGGACAGTCAAAATGTGATTCCTGGCATCACCTGAGAACTTGTTAGACAAAAACATGCTAATTCTTACACTCCATTCCAGATCTCCTGAAATCAACTGGAAGTGGATCCCAGTAATGTTTTAATAAACCTTCCTTCAACGAGAAAGCTGAGTAGTTGTGACAGAGACTGCATAGCCTGCAAATCTGAAATGTTCATTATCTGACTTTTTACAGATATTCTTATAGGGATCTGGCCAACCCCTGCTTAGATGATCCATTTTAAAACACATTTTCCTATTTTGTCAGAAAGCATATTTTTAAATGCATTTTTAAATGGAATAAATGCATTTCTAACTGATGAGTTAGGGTTCATGTATAACCACACCCCTCCTCAGTGGACCATTCATTTAGGAAAGCGGTAAAAATATTAGGAGGAGCTGACATACCGTTTAATGTATCCACCGCTGGATGTTCCTGTGGCTGCTTGCTGAGACTGACCATTTGTCACTCGGCCTGGCTGCTTAGATACTACATTGCTACAAGAGTTGTCTCCACCTTCTCCCCATGTTGCCTTATAGTTCTTACCAGATTCAAAGTTCTTTGTCCTATATAAGAGTCAAGAATGCAGGGAGATACCAAAAAAGCAGAAGAGAGAGAGTTGTAATTATTAGTGCTTGTCAATTTGAGGATGACCCTAGCACCCTTAGCATAAAAGCTACATACATACAGCTAGATCTTGATTATGTATATTATAATCCATTGCAATATGGCATAGAAAAAGATGAATTGTATAAGCCCACTGACTTTAATAAAGGTTTTTAAAGGTTCAAATACTTCTACCAAATCTTCATTAAGCAGTTAGCAAGTAGCAAAATACAATTATTTGATATCTCAGTTTCCCCTAACCTCTAACACTCCCTAGAGAAGAGATTTAATGGACATTAGGGAAAAAAAAAATCCTTAAGAAAGCTATTCTGGGATGCCTTAAGAGTGTCCTTGGAGGCATCTAGAGGTTGATAAGAGATAGAAGAGTAAAAAGGCTGAGTAGGCAACACTTAGGCCCACTTAACTCAAACCAGAGTAGTTCTAAGCTGAACAGTTTTTTAAAGTTAAGAATTTTAATAGGAATTAAAACTTTAAAAAGAATTTCTTAAGAAGCAAACAAACATCATGAAGGAAAGGCATGAATTATTTCCAAATTGAACAGCCAATTAATAACTATCTTGGCCATTCTGGTACCAGTTATAAATCCTATGGTTTAGGGCTTTTTCATTTAAGAGCTCATTTTTCCAAATTAAAAAAAAAAAAAAAAGTCCTAAATCTAGGCCTCTTAAAAGTAGAAGTATGTGCTTTAGATGTAACTGATATAGACAAAAATCAGCCAAAGCCAGAAACTACCATGGGATTTACTCCTTGAACTATAAATGGCAAGAAAAAGAACCTACTAAAGTGACTTTAAAATAGCTATACAAAAAAACACAAATAAAACCTTTTTACTGATTATTTGGCTATGTACAATGTTACCCATACAATTTTATTTTTTTCTATACATAAAAACAAAGTGGTATATGGCTATAATATTAGTTTCTGATTTATTCAACTAATATGTTAATGAGGAAGTTTCAAAACTACAAAAGCAAAGGAGAGAATCTATGAAAACAGTGTCTCTTTCCTTAATAGACATGTGAAGATTCATTTCTGGCAAACATAGAGTTGGATCTTAGATCTTAATCATTAATGCTAGTCTGGCCGTGCTACCCTTAATGTGCCCGATCTCATTTGATCTCAGAAGCTAAGCAGGGTCGGGCCTGATTAGTATTTGGATGGGAGACTACCTTGGAATACAACGTGCTGTAGGCATTAAAAAAAAAAAAAAAAAAAGGGAAAAAAAAGAATATATTTAATCATTAATACTAGAGAAAGGGTACCACTACTTTTTTGCTAAGAGGCACTGAAAAGGTAAACAAATATATGAACACTGAGAAGCTAGTTCTCAAAATGTCTTTCTTGGTTCCACTTTAAGTCCTCACAATTAATTTCCTATTTATGCTATTATGTTTTATTAATGTTTTATTAATTAATCTATTTATTAATTAGCCATGTTAAATCTTTCCTGGAACAAGGTGAAATATACATTTTTAAAATAAATATTTATGTAAATTATCTGTTAAGTTTCGTGAAACTTATTTACATGTATTTTTTGTTAATGAGTCTCAGACAAAATCCTAAAGCAAACTGATAGCTAGTAAACAAAATAAACAACATATTAGTTTATCAGAAAGTTAATAACCAGAGGTATTAAGAGAATATAAGTGGGGTTTTTGTCAGCATGTCAGACTGTAGAACAGGTCAAAAAGTGAAAGCTAGAATTCAAAAGGCACTAAACATTAAGATACTACATTTCTGAGAGTTTTAACACATCGAGAGTAGACTGAGACAGGACTTATGTGTTCTTAGTCTCTCAAGGGATAATATACACGTGCTCCAACCGCCTCCTCAACCTTAAGTGACAATATTTGAAATTCCTCAAACTTTTGAGAATTCTTCCTCCCATAGTTATATATAAAGGGCATAAGATGAAAACAAAGTCTTAACGTGATATCATGGATGAGGTTCAATTAAGCCACAGTTTATAAAAAAAGAATGACTGGTTACCAAACCCTTCTCTCTTTAAGAAGACAGGATCATTGAAGATGTTCTTTCAATATCAAGAAGAAAAGGTGCAAAAAGCTGAATTTCAATTTTTAAAAATGTTTATAAATATAACCCAGCTTTGCATTGGATTGTCATGTTTACTTTCAAATGTTTTTTTTTTCATACAGTTGTGACATGTCCTGAATGTTTATAAAGAAGTGATTTCTTATCTTCTTCCTTGTGATAGCTCCATATCTCTTTCAGCATCTACACTCAAGGTAATGCCTTCTGGTTGCTCAAGATCCTGTTACCCTGGAGCTTCTCTATCAAGTTAGAACACTCTTAAAAGTAACTTGTTTTTAAGGACAGTGTCAGGCAGCTGCCTATCTAATTAAAACAATAATGTTTTAATCTAATTTGTCTTCCTTCAAAGGGTCTCAAATTCTTTAAAGGTAGTATTTCCCAAGTTTGACTGAGCACCAGAGTAACCTGGATGCGTGAACACACAGGAACACAGGTTCCTGCTTCGATTTGTATGGAGTGGAACCTGGGAATCTTTTGTTGTTATTGTTTTAGGTCATTCAGCTACCCAGAGAGACACTGTTCTAAGGGATTTCTAATCTGTTTTAGAAGGAATATCTTAGGTGACTCTAATAGTCTTTGTATTTCTGTGTATTAGGACACTGAGGAATTAATCTGGAGGAAGCAAAGGTACACATCAGGACTTTTTAAGGCACAATGTTTGTGGTAAATTGACTTGAATCCTAATCTTATACCTGCCATTCAGTAGCTGTAGAACCTTAAGCAAACTTCCATCTCCGAGCATAAGATAATAACAATACTTAAGAGTTCACAGGGCTATGAAAGGTTCTGTTGATAATGAATGCAAAATTACTTTGTAAAGCATCAGACACATACTTTTCATTCTTAGGCCTCAATCTCTACCTGATCCTTAGTTAACAATTCATGCCTTTAAGTGCACAGACTACCAATTGGCATGTTTACTCTTCTGGACTATTAACATTCCCTAGCTTTGAGATCTTATTGTAGCTGAATATAGTTGGAATATGGCTACATAAAAAGACATCTAGGCCCCGACTGTTTTGGTGTACAGTAAGAAAAAGTGTTTCTGATCTTCTGCATAAAAAAAACTCTAGCCCCTTTACGAAGAAATTAGACCATGATAAAATGCTAAAGCAAGTTAGTGATAGATGTTAATGCAATTAAGAACTCCATCTGGAAACTACCTGTCAGTTTTAAGGTGTCTAATAATCTTTACCACTTTTTTCAATATAAATCACATTCAAAAATGGAAAGTTTGAAATAAAAATAGAAATAGCCCTTAATTCAAGATGCTGCTGTAAAAGCAGAAAACAAGTATCAGAATATATACACAATAACTTTAACAATTTCTTTTTCTATAAAATAACATTGAATGTCAACTCTAATTGAAAAAATAAAAATTAAACAAATGTCCTTATAGTAAACTAAAAATTAAATCAAAATACTAAAACAAGCAAATAAAAGTTCTTTTTCTAGTTTTGGTTGTCAACATTAGTACTAACTGAATAAAAATGGCAAAAATAAAGCCAAATATTAGCCAAAATTCCTTCATAACAAGGAGAAAACAGACCAAATAAACACCAATTTTTATGAGTGTGTGTGTGTGTGTGTGTGTGTGTGTGTGTGTGTGTGTGTGTGTGTGTTTGTGTTGGGTGATCAGCCTACAGGAAAGAAGAAAAAGGAGAGCAAGAAACAAAGTGTAGAAATCAAACACTTAATTTTCTAACATTTCCCTATGGTATTAGTAGTTCCCATAAAGATCCAAAATTAAGGAGCCAAACGTTATAATCAACAGTAGTCTGATTAGAGGATTAATTTTTAAAAAAAAATTAAGGTAAGTTAGCTCTGTATTAATTCAACACGAAACTACAACAAGCTAACACATTACATAAGAGGAAAACTCTTATTTAAAAAAGAAGATACTAGATATGGTAACATTTTAAATTTATACCCCATCTTGTTCTGAATGGCATTTAAGATGACTTAGATTGGGCAATTAATTCCTCATTTTGGTAGTATCCTAAATCATAAAAAATCCAAATCATTAGAAGCCCGCACTTCGATAGAGAAAATCTTGATTCTGGAACTGGGAAAAAGTTGGGAAACTTAATAGAAAATGGGATGCTGAAATCAAAATCCTTTGGAGAGTGATGGATTTAGCCTGAATATCCCCTTACCTTTGATCAGAACTAGAACACAGCAATTCTCTACAAAGATCAACCTATTTAAAACTTCTTACTGTTGAATTGTCCACCTGAAACTTACTGGATTTCATTAACCAGTGTCACCATAATAAATAAATTAATTA